TATTTATTGCTAGCATAGGAGGGAGGAAGGAGGCAGGTCGTGGCTCCCTGGTGATGCGACTCCTGTTTTTTTGTGTGTTTTTTGTTTTGTTTTGTTTTGGAATAAATGGATTTAGCCATACTGCTCGGCCTGGTATATTTCCGTTTCCCTCACTGGGTCCTGCAGTTTGTCCCACTGAACGAGGAGCCCCAGAATGTCTGAGCATGTCCAGATGGCTGTTGGGGACCTTCCAGGCCTGTTACGTGTATGCTGCCTGGTGACACCTGGTGGATTTCAAGAGGACTGCCATGGTGCCTATGGGGCACAGTCCAGCCCTAACAGCCAACAGGCTCAGAAGCCTGATCTAGTGGTGGCCAGGAAGACAGATACCAGCACCCAAGGCCACTGACTTCCATCCACCCCAGGCATCTTCCGTTCTGTCCCCTTGCCTCCCTCTCCTGTCTGCACTGGGTGGCTTGTTGTGTCTCTCCCTCCAGAGTGACAGGTGCCCTTCAGGCTTCCTCCAGGCTGAGTTCATGGCCCTGCTTGCTAATGGCCAGAGCTGGCTTCACAGGATAAGAGTCAGCTAAACAGGGGCTTTCCAGGAAGTGTCCCTTGGAAAGGGTTTGGCCTTTTCAGTGCTCCCAACAGCACCCTAGAAATAGCTTGACCTTTTCCCTCCCCTGAGCTCCACAGAGAACACAGTCAGCAGAGGACACATTCCCCGTCATCCAGAAATGGGTTTGATTCTCAGCCGAGGGACAGCAGGACTAGTAGAGACTGTCAGGCCACACAACTGCCTGCACAGCACCCTCATGCTTGGTGGAGGGTGGGAGGGATGGTGGGGGCTGGCTGTCCACAGGCTGGGCATGACAGGAGGCTCACTGGAGGTGGTGCACTTTGGAGGGGTGATATCAGGGGACAGCTTTCTCTTGATGAGCCACAAGCCTCCAAAATGACAGCACAGTGACTGATTCCCAGCTCTGGAGGTGAGGCGGTCAACCACATGTGTGTGTGTGTGTGTGTGTGTGTGTGTGTGTGTGTATAGCTATTTATAGAACAGGGCAGGGGCATACCACGGGGGGGCACAAGTTTTCAGCAACAGTCATACCTGGATGTGTCAGCTCAGCACTACAATAGACTAAGTCAAGGATGAAAGGGACTGACTTTGGGGCTGGGGAGCCACTGTCAAGTCACAGGACACCTTCCCAGGCAGGCTTGGAAAGGGAGGCCTCCGAGAAGAGGAGGATCTGTTCAGAGATTGAAGGGGGGCCTGGGGCTCTCCAGACAGGATGGAATTGCCTGACCCATTCAGCTGATAGTTGGAGAGAAAGCAGAGAGAAAATGGGTTAAAGAAAAGCCAGAGCTGGTGAGGCAAGCACAGAGCACTGGTGCAGGAGCTGTGGGAGGGCCAGGGAGGGAAGGGCGTAGGTGCGGGTTTGGCAAGGATCCTGGAAAAGAGGGGCTGGAAGTGAAAGGGGAGGAAGATGGAGGGAGGACCCAGAGCTTCACAGGTAGTGCTTGGGGGCTACAGCGGCCCTCCACACTCCACACACGCCTCTCCCATGGCATCCAGGCAGTGCACCCACAGTTCAGACCAATGCTCAGTTCCCTTGGGCTTCTTTCTTCTCTGGTCACCCTGGTCACCATGGCCCAGGGCCACATCTTGCTTGGGGAACCCCAGCCAACAACCACCAGACCTGATAGAGAAGGAACACGGCTTGAACTAAAATGGTGAAGCTATAAGGGATGGATGGCTGGAATGAGTGCCAGAGGCCCCTCTCTGTGCAGTCAGAAAGCCTAGGGCCCTCTGAAGGGAGCCTGGGGAAGGCAGGGAGGAGAAGTAGCTGGATGCCACTGGCCATAGACTTATAAATCTAAGAGGGGAGCCTCAATTGGCTGGGCTCAGAGGGGCTGCAGGTTGCATAGGTGAGGCTGGGCCCTTCCTGCTGGGAAAAGTAGAAGAGGGAGAGTCTGTGGCAGAAGTGGCAGGCAGGCTCACTAGGCAGAGCTCAGCTGGACCAGCAGGCACTGTGGTCCCCTTGGCTGAATAGCACAGGTGGCCCCTAGGAGCAACAGACCAAGGTGCGTGAGCCCGCTGGCCAGTGGTAGTACTTCAGTGGGGGCCAGGGACCCTGCCTTTGGTCACATGCTAGCAGCTATGATGGTACCTGGGAGAGAGGGAAGGGGGCTGTGTGTCCCTGCCTGGCCTGTCGAGTGTGTTGTGGGATGACCATGTGCATGGGACTCTCACCTAGATCGCCACTGGATTGCCAACAGATAGAGGAGGTGGGACCCTGACAATCACCCCTCCTCTGCAGTGGATTTGGCTCTTGGCACTCCCAGGTTGGGAGCTGGATGCCCTGCCCTGGCAGCATGACTCAGACTGCACGACAGGTACGGCATGCCCAGGATGATATTCCTAGGTGTCTGGCCACCTTACAGTGCAGCCCCACACATAACCCCCTCCAAGCTCCCAGCCCCCATACCATAAACCACAAGCTCTCTGCCCTCTCTGACGGCTCCAGAGAGCACTCACATTTGCTAGCTTGGGCACGGCACCTGTTTCAAGAGCCCCCAGGCCCAGTCATGGAGGCTGGGGGACTTTGAGCTCATGGGGGCCAGCCCTGGTACCTGTGTCCAGCCAAGACACTCTGCACCTGCAGCCAGAAGACATCCATGGGCCCCATGGGCGTTCTGATGGTGGTTGTGTTGGTGTCACTGATGATGCTGGGTGCCTCCATCAGCACGTGGTACATGTGCAGCATCTCATTGCCCCACTGTGCCTGCTCTGCTGACTCCTCCATCAGCGTGTTCTGATCCCCATGCAAGTATAGGTTGGACAGCAGCTCTGAGAAGATGAGCTTCTTGGTCTGAGAGTGGGCAAAGAGGGAAGGAGGTTGGGACCTGATGCCTGTGCTGCCCTGGCCGTCCCACCGGGCTCTGCTGATGTCGTGTTATAGAATGAGACCACCACTTCTCCTGCTGTGTTTCTCAGCTTTTCCCCATCTCCCCTTTTCCCTAGTTTATAAGACAGGAGAAGGGGGAGAAAGCAAAAAGTTGGAAAGAAACAGAAGTAAGATAAATAGCTAGACGACCTTGGCACCACCACCTGGCCCTGGTGGTTAAAATAATAATGATAATATTAACCCCTGACCAAAACTACTAGTGTTATCTGTAAATTCCAGACATTGTATGAGAAAGCACTGTAAAACTTTTTGTTCTGTTAGCTGATGCATGTAACCCCTTGTCACATTTTCCACGCATGCTTGATTTATCATGTCCCTTTTACATGGATCCCTTAAAGTTGTAAGCCTTTAAAAAGGCCACGTATTTCTTCTTCAGGGAGCTTGGCTCTTAAGACGCGAGTCTGCCGACACTCCTGGCTGAATAAAAAACCTCTTCCCTCTTTAATCTGGTGTCTGAGGAGTTTTGTCTGTGGCTCGTCCTGCTACAGTGTGCTGGACTTGGAGCCCCAAATATGGCTTTTCAGATGTGGTTTCTACACTGCTTCAACTCGAAGATTTGCCTCCCCACCACCTTTTCTCACTCAGATGGGGACACTGAGGTCCAGAGGAAAAGTCAGCTGCCAAAGGTCACAGATCTGGAAGGGGACCCAGGATCTATCGTGCCACCAGGACACCTGTCTACTCAGTTTTAAAAAAATTTTTGGAGATAAGATCTTGCTCTGTCACTGGGCTGGAGTACAGTGGGCAAGATCACCACTCACTGCAGCCTCAACCTCTTGGGCTCCAACGTCAGCCTGTCAGGTAGCTAAGACTACAGGCACGTGCCACCACCAAGCCCAGCTAGTTTTAAAATTTTCGTGTAGAGACCAGGTCTCACTGTGTTGCCCAGGCTGGCCTTGAACTCCTGGGCTCAAGTGATCCTTGACTTGGAAGAGCCTTGGGTTTCTGGCCTGGGTGGCCAAGTGTTCAGGAACCCTCCCTGGTCACACGGTCTTTGGCTGTTCTGGGCCACCTTAGTCCATATGTCCACAGCTGTTGGCTGCGCTGACCCTGACAGCTGATTTGGACACAGGGAGCTGAGGTGCTGGCTGAGGCCATGCTGGAGGTCATCACTATTTTCAGGGTATTTTATTGGGAGTGGGTTTGTAATAGTTTCAGGCTTACTAATAGCACCAACACAGGGCCCTGATTTCTGCCAAATGAGGAAGGATATGAGAAACATATTTGCTGGGGAAAGTTTGATTCTGAATTGTGGGGTGAGCCTGGAGAGTTTCTGTTCATCTCATGTTGGGTCAGGATTGCTGAGAGTGATATGGAGTAAGCTCACCCATGCCAACAGCTGCAGCTAGGGCTGCTGCCCTCAGTTCTGTACTGGATCTCAGGTGCTGCCAGGAGGCGTGGAGGTGAGTGGGCGTGGCTCTGGTGAGTGCCCGCCCCTTCCCTGGCACCACAGGCCGACCTGGCCCCTCCCACACTGCTAGGCCTTGCGTGCTCCTGCAGTGCCTCTTTGTGAGCGGCTCCTGGTATGGTCTCCCCTGCAGCTTGCTTTAGAAAGTGGGGTCGCCAGACCAACAGGTGCTTTAAGGAGTGCCAGGCCATGGCATCAGGCTCCCCAGTGTTATCAAGACTGCAGGGGTCCATAACCCACCTCTGGGCTGGAGCCTCAGTGTTTTAATGCAACCAGACTGGTGGTTGCAAGGAGGCCAGTCCTGCAGCTCAGTGAGTGGCCTTCAGAAGCACAGGGGGGGAGTTGTGTGGTCAGCTGCATTCAAGAGACAGGGGTTAAATAGGATTGAACCAGGCTCTGCAGCAGGACTTCTGGGAGCCTTTCAAGGTGCTGAGCATCATCTCCCAAATTTATCTAATCATGAGGCACCTTCTCATCTCCCAGCAGAACCTTCCAGGCCTGAGGCAGAGGTGGGGTCTGGCTTCCCGGGTGCCAGCCTGGGCTCAGAGGCCTCTGTCAGCTCCTGACTGAGGAGCAAATGAAGAATTACACTTCGGGCTCATGTTCTGCAGCACAGAAGGGGTGAGTGCTATAGGTTTGGGGTTTGTGGGGGCTGTGGGCTGACAGCTATCGGGGAGAAAGTGTTGGTGAGTGGGGACCCCGTGCCCCATTCATTCGGAGCCTCCTCCTGCCTGGTGGGGCTGGCAGCCCGGTCCGCAGAGCCAGGCAGGAGGTGGAACCTGAGAAATCCACATGCAGGGACCCCTGTGCTTGGGCCTTCCCTGTTCTCTGGTGCTCCCATGTACTAGAACACATGCTGGGGAATTCAGAATTTAAATAAAGCTGACCTTTCTGACCTTGAGCCTGTGGACAAGAGTGAAGCCTGTCCAGGGAGCGGTGTTAGAAACACAAAAGGCTGCGCCCTCGTGTGCACCTGGTGTTGACAGGAGCCCAGGCAGCTGACGGCAGCAGGAGCAAATGGCCTGCTCTGATGGGGACAGGCAGGAAGTCCTTCAGGGCATTTCTGTTTCATCACAGCTTTTCTTGGGACTGGTGTGTCTGTTGGGGCTTTGGATGACAGGAAAGCAAATGAGACCCTGTTGCTGGATGCAGAGCATCTGGAGCCTGGCAGAATCGAGAGAGGGGAAGATGGTGGCCCCGTGTTGGAGGAACTGGCTTATTTTGTGATCCCCAGAGACCAGCATGGCTGACCCCTTAGTGCTACAAATCCATAGCCAGGTCTCAGAACAGCTTTTGGTTTTGTTTTTATTAAGCCACTGACCAGTGGTTAGGAGCAAGTGATCACAACCTTAACATTTTTATTGTAAATTGGAGCCATGACCTGGGGATAATATGAAACCCACAAACTGCACATTTCTCTGTAGACTGCATCTGGACACTTGTCACATCTGACAGTCATCGCCAGGACTGCCTGGGCCTCTGCTCATTCCCAGTCAATCAGTCCTGGGACACAGACATCCTGGACTCATGCCTGGTGCCAGGCCTCATGCCTGCCAGAGGATGCAGGCACACCCGCACCCACCATCACCATGCAAGTGCTGGGCACTCTTCTCAGTGCTTATATATGGGAACTCAAGTAATCCCACACACTAGGAGGTGGCACTACTGTTATCCCCAGTGTGCAGATGAGGAATCAGAGGCCAGAAAAGGTGATGACTTCAGTCACACAGCAAGCATGTGGCAGAGCTGGAGTCCAGGCTGTCATTCTGAGCCTGCCCCTGGCTGGGCCATTGTTCCTCGTCACCTCTCTGCAGAAGATGGGCCTCGCCCTCTACATCAGACCCCCAGCCTGGCCAGTGCTCTTCCCACCCTGCCCCAGGCCACCTGCTGTGCCTGTGAGGGCTGTGTGTGAGCACTCATGAAAGCGCTGCTGATTCTCTTGTCTCTCCCCTGCATCCTGCCATGAAGCTGATCAGCATCTCCTTTGGGGACCTAAACCCCTTTCCCCTATGCCAGATCCGGAACCGATGCACCTACCACTTGGAGAAGGTCCAGGTGGAGCTGACCAAGCTGGAGGCCATCTGATAGGACTTCCTGCATGAGCAGGACACCAGACCTGACAAGGGTGAGCTGGTCAGCGACGAGGAAGAGTATACCTGAGTGGGCTTTGGGACACTTCTCTTCCTACCTTCACAACCAAAATGTGCCCAAAGGTTGAAAGCGTGCTTAAAAGCCAGAACATAACATGTATGGCCTCTGGGACATCTGCTGGGCAGATGTCCAAAGCCAGACTGCACTTCCTCATTTCCCACTGTGTGGGGGCAGGGGTGGGAGGTCTCATCTGTTTACAGCAATTTCCATGCCACGCTTTTGGTTACACATATCTCAGTCATGCTTTCTGCCTGATTGGTGGATCCCCAGGCTTACCAGTGGCAATTTGCAAGAGCCTGTTTCCAGCCTCCATCAGCCTGTCGGTGCTCTGACCCCAAAACTTTGCTTTGCTGGGCGTCTCCCCATGTTCTCTCTCCTGTCCGTGATGGGCAGTGGTGTGTGGTTTTGAATGGCAGTGCTGTGAAGGATGCCCACTGTGCTTCAGGCACCTGTAGGCCAGAGGGTTGCTGCCTCAGACATAAGGTCAGTATGAAAAGGGACTGCCTTGGAAAAGCAGGCACATCCCTTGTTCAGAAATGGTCACTGTAGAAAGCCCATGAACCTCCCACCAGTGGTTTTAAGCTGTTAGCCATGCCCCATTTCTAGAATAGCCTTTGCTCTTCCACACACAACCCTTCCAACAGTGGCTCCCAGCCTGCATGGGGAGGGCCTGGCTGCCCAGACACCCACCCTCACTTCTCATGGCCAGCCTGCATTTGCAGATCACTGGGCTGCTCTGCCTCAGCTTGCCGCGTGCCTGGCGTGGCTCAGTGAGATTCTGTGGAATGCCCTTCTTGACTTGTGGGAATCATTCACCAAGTATGACGGTTCGGGATTCCAATTCAACGGTGGAATGCAATTTTAAGAAGTACTTTTTTCCTATTATATTTTGCTGTCAACTTTCTAGCAGTGCCACAGCAAAGCTGGCATTTCAGCACACTAGATTGAGCCCCGGCTTCATGTCTTTAGTGGAGCTGGTTAACATTTCACTGGGTAGAGGGGCTGGCCTCTATATTTAGCCAAAAGCCTTTGCCTCTTTTCAGGCAATAAAAATGGGTTTTGCCATTGTCTTTGTCTTTGAGAGCAGCAGTTTGAGGTCTGACTCCTTCAGGAAGTTGTCCTGTGAGCTGGGCCTTGCAGTCTGCTCAAATCAAGTGTTGGAACTTCCCACTTCCTCAGCCCATCAGAAATGACAGCTGTCAGCCTGGGGGGCAGCTGCTGAGGAGGTACAGTAGGAATGGGGCTGGGCCCATGGGCCAGCACCAGCTGCCCTCAGGTTTTACTTTCCAAGCTGATGGCCCCTAGAACATGCCAACACACACTGCCATGTCCTGGGGCTAAGACGCTGCCTTTAGGGACAGGCTCATGTTGTCCAGTTTGCCGAGAGATGCACCTGACCAGGGTCCCATCATGGCTGCAACCCACGGTAGTATGTTCGTGTTTCCAGGCAGTTGTCAGCAGCTGCCCGGCAGTGTGTGTGTTCTCACACAGGAGAGTTCCTGGAGGAAAGGGACTGGGGATGCTTTCTCAGCGGTTCTCCTACCTGGAATCAAGTGCCGCACGTCCAGGAGGCAAGAGAGGGCAGCTCTCCCTGGTGCCGGTTGGGGAACAGGATGGAGTCAACTCCTCCTTCCAAGACTGTGGCCTCACTCTTTAGCGCTAACACTTCCCCGCTTCATGTCACTGAGGAAAGAGTTGCTCTGTCCCCTCCAGTGCCCTGAAGGTCCCTGGCCTCCACTGGCTGCCATGGCAGGGGGCCCTTCTGGCAGGGGCTGCCCCACACTGCTGTTCCTCCTCCGAACCTTCACCCCAACACCCAGCCCATGGCCCCTGCAAGGGGGACTTTGCCAGCTCGGAAACCCAAAGGCCTGTCCAAATACACACACAAGGACCGATGGGAGCTCCCTCCCCACACCTGCTGGTAGTTGCCAACTTTTAAATGGATGGGGTTTTTTGATGGGTTGAACCTCTGTTAATACTTTTGTGTGCTTTCACTACAGTTTATATTTTTATAGGCTATTTGCCCAAGATGTTTCTGGATTCCACATATCTATTTTATATAACAAGTTCTTATGTGTGTGACTCCCTTGTATCTGTGCCAACCTGAGCCTCCGAGTTGCTCTTTCCTCTGGCCCTGACTCTCACTGACTTGCTGATGTGATGTGCGGGCTGGCCCACTTCTTACCTCAGGTAGCCTGCGGCACTGCTGATGGCTATGGTAGCCGCCATCATTTCAACTACAGTATACTGATATAGGAAGTATCCTAGACAGATGCCTGGTTGGGTTTTCTAACTACATGTTGGTATTGCACAGATCCCCACCTGCCATCCTATAGTGTTGTCTCCCTGCGTGTTCCGGGGCTTCTGGGCAGCTGGGCCTGCCCGGGGAAGTCCTTGCAGGTGGGAGGCCATACAGAGACCTAGTGTGTGCCACTGAGCATCCCACCGCTGCTGGGCAACTGGAAGACTGCAGAGGGCACCAGATGACTCTATCTTTTTATGTCACAGCAGCTCCTTTGCTGACCTTCCAGTTACATTTTGGAACTGTAATACTAAGGAAGAAATAAACTAATTTGTATGATATTCTGCACTGAAATTCCGTTATAGTCACTAGTGATGAGGCTCACCCCAAGGGCTTGGAGGGTGGGCCAGGGCTTATTGGTGTTGGGGGGCGAGGAGGGGCTCTCTGACCTTCCAGCATGGCATTTCTGGGTGTCCCTGCCCTTGGTTCGCCCTGGGGCAGGTGCATCAGGATGCCTTTGCCAGCAGGGACAGCCTTGGGAGGCCCCAAGAACCATGGCCAAGGTGCAGGTGTGGGCTGGGGGCACTGAGGTGGGAAAGCCAGGAGCCGGAGGCTCCCTATGTCCCGATAAACCCCCACCCAGCCACAAAGAACAGGCACGCCTCCTTCCGCCAGCTGTGCCATACCCTGTCTGAGTCACAGGCTTGTTTGTCTCCTGCCTGGGCTGACAACTCAGGCCCAGCTGCCACTGGGACAAGCCCAGACATCAGTGGAAAACACCCAAGAATGATGATCAAATGTCTTCCCATAAGGGTGTTTTGGGGTGGCTCCAGCATGGATTCCCAGACAGGGCAGGCCAAGGCCTGGCAGGGTTTTCTCTTCTGGGGACATGGATTCAGCAAGGCTGGGGGTTCCTGAAGTCACACAGCACAGCAGTGGTGGCAGAGTTGGGACAGGGACTGGCTCAGTGTGTGAGTCAGAAGCAAGTCAGCAGGCCCTGCTCCCCACCCCTTGGAAGGGACTGCCACCACGGGCAGTTCTAAGGCCTGGGAAGCCATGACTCAGAGAGCGGGTCCCCAGGGTCTCTTTGGGCCAGCCGGGCTGCTGTAGACAGGAAGCACGCCTGACACTCCTCCACCCTTGGGCAGTGCAGTGGAGCTGGGAATCACGCTAGCTTGCCCAGCAACTTGCTTTCCTGTGTGAACTCTGGCAGGCTGCCTCTCTGTGCAAAGCCACAGCTGGGGCCTGCCTGGGGTCCTCTCCCTCTTCCACCTGCTCAGGGTGGCCTGGAGCTTAGAGGTGGGCAGTTGGAGCCTAGGATGGGCCTGTGTCAGCAGGGCATGTGCCCTTGGGCCAGTTACTTCTCAGAGCCTTGGGCTCCTCCTCTGAGGATGGGGCATGTTGGTGTGAAATGAGTTGAGCGTGTTGAGTTGGGGAGCAGCAGGACAGGCACCTTCAGGCAGCCGCCCTGGTCACGCTCCCTCCCTCCCTTCCAAGTCCTGGGACAGACATTCATCACAAAAGGGTTCAGCCTCTGATACTGTTTCTTGGTCTCAGTCCTTAAGGAGTAATTTTTTTTTTTTTTTTTTTTTTTTTTGTGATGCAGTCTTGTTTTGTTGCCCAGGCTGGAGTGCAAAGGTGCAATCTCAACTTACTGCAACCTCCGCCTCTCAGGTTCAAGCAATTCTCCTTCCTCAGCCTCCCAAGTAGCTGGGATTACAGGTGCCCACCACCGCAACTGGCTAATTTTTGTATTTTCAGTAGAGACGAGGTTTCGTCACATTGGCCAGGCTGGTTTAAAACTCCTGACCTCAGGTGATCTGCCTGCCTCAGGCTCCCAAAGTGCTGGGAGCCACTGTGCCCAGTCAGGAGTGATTTTCAGTGCTGTCTACTCCATCCTCAGCATACACCCATCCCTGAGTGTGCGTGGCTGCCACATGCAGGCTCCAGGGCCACACTCCCATTTTGTCCAGGGATGTCATATGCTGGAGAACAGAATGTGGGAGGTGACCTCTGTAGGCTGCAAGGCAACCTCTCTGAACCTTAGTGTCCCCACCTGGAGAAGGGGTGTAACACCTTCCAAGGGGAGAGCTGAGGAGGAAATTGTCAACGGCTGAGTCCAAGGCTCACAGACAGAGGGCAGGGTTGGATCCAGGGCTGGGCCTGGGCCTGGGCCTGGGAGGACAGTGTCTGCCCCTTCCCCAGCCTCCCGCCCCTGGCCAGGACAGGACCCTTTTCAAAGCACATTCATGCCCCTCTGTTCCCTGCTGTGGGCACCACTGTCTGGCTCCATGGGACTAGATTTTATGGGAGGTGAAGGGGCTGTGGGTAGGAAGGTGCCAGGTGCTGGACCATCGATCAGCATGGTAGGAACCTGTTGCTGAGGCTGGTGGTGGGAAAGGGGCCACTCTGAGGTGGTAACAATTAGCCCAGCCTTATCTCTGTGCACAGAGATGAAGGGACACGTGGGGACAAGTAGGGCACAGCTGGTCAGACTGCTTTTCCCCTCTCTGCCTGCTTTTTCCAGAAGAGTCAACAGATAGAACAGACAGGGTCAGGGAGGAGCCCACGGGGGACCCAGTCCCCACCACTCCAAGGGGCAGTCCCTGCAAGTGACAAAGTAGGCTCAATCCCTGTGGAACAGGTCTCGGAGGACCACAGAGTGGGGCCCCAGGGGGGGCTGGGAGCCTGAGCTGGAGGCAGGCAGCAAGTAAGGGCCAAGCTGTGCCCCTGCCCAGAAGACCTTCCTGCCCCCAGCACCCCACCCTCTGCAGACAGGCCTCCCTGGGCAGCAGCCCCCCAGCTTCCAAGGCGCTCCGTGCCTCACCAGACGCCACGCTCTCATGGACCTGATTGCTGCTCTGCCCCCTGCAGATCTGCCCCAGAGGAGCAGGTGAAAAGCCACACTGCCTGTAGCGGCCTCTGCCCCCAACTCCCCTCACTGCCCCCTGCCCCAGTGCATCTGTACTGCCAGGCCTCCGTGACCA